TTTTTTTAACGCTTATTTGTTTATCTCTTTTATGAGAGAGACAGACTGAGACAGCATCCCCAGCAGGGTCCTCATGCTGTGACTCACCCCTGGCTGCAACCAGTCAGGATAAAGGACACTTACGCGTTTGCACCCCGTGTGCAAAGGAAGACCTTGAGATGTGAACCCAGGACCTTCCCATGTGACCTTAGCAATGTGAACCTTTGCATTACTGCTGCGCCACTGTGGTTGGCTATGCCTTTCTAGACCTTCATCACACACTTAGGGATATGTTTGCTGGTAGTTGTACATTGAATTGGATGAGTAGAAAGTTCGTATTCTCACATGAAGAACTAACTTGAGTTATTGGTTGTTACAGAGGGCTCTTACTCCATCTCCCAGTGAATTACCAATACATTCCTTCAGGTTTTCTTTTTTCTTTTTTTTTTTTTTTTTCCTTTTTGGAGAGGTTTTTGTTATAGGGCACATGTGCTCACCAGAAAGTCAGAGAGGGACAGAGAGACAGAAAGCGAGAAATCACCCCCCAGGGAGGATGGCCACGCTGCAATCCCTTCTCCTCCATTCTCCTCTCAGGATCTTGGGCACGCACTTACACATGCCCCACGTGAGTTTAAGCCACCGGGTCTGGGACTCAAACTATGGTTGACTACGTGGAAGTCCAGAGACATAGCCATTACACCAACTGCTGGTCCCAACAGTCCTTCAGGTTTTCAACGTAACTCCCATGGTGCTTCATTCAGTGGACAATATAGCTGGTTCTATCCGTTCCAGGCAAAAAAAAGTAATTCCTTGCCTGCTAGCTTTTGGCTGCCTGGGACGGAATGTTATTCTGCAGGGAAGGAAGCACGATGGAAAAGGTTCTACCTACAGGAAATCTAATATTTACTCTGCAGTGCAACATGTGAAAAATTGAAACAAAGGAAGCCAAGGAAGAGGCTAGTAACTCTAAATTCAGTTTGTGTGAAACTTTTTTGTTCCCCCCTCCCATTATATCACCATTATGCTGTAATGTTTTATTTTCTATCTAACTGGTAAGTTACTTTTTTATTAGTGGTTTTGGGGATCCAGTATGAGTGTCATTGACAGATAAACTGGGCAGAAAAAAAGAGAAAACTGTGTTATTTCTTCTTAATTCCTATCATTTTGAGAAAAAAGCTGCTTTCTGTGCATAATCCCTTCCCCTTCCGCCCATTTATAATTATTTTTGCCCATTATACTGTTTACTTTACAATTAAAATCAGAAATAGGGATTCTTGACTTAACTGACTCCTCTCTGACCTTGCCCTGGGAATGATATAATTTTTACACTAGAGGATATTCGCCAGGACATGCTACCTACAAAGCCAAATATATTTTGCCCTTGCCAAGAACACAAAAGATTAAATTGAAGGTTCACCAAAGACTGGAAGGAAAGAGAGGAAAGGGTGAGGCAGTTTGCCCTGTAGATATTCATTACTTTGTGCCAGTGGCCTTTTCCTGCCCTCCTCATTAGTCCTTTCTCACCTCTGGGATTTGGTCAGAGCTCTGCCCACCACGCTGAACCTCTCATTGTTTTGCAAGGAGAGCTTTATTTTACGAAGTTCTTCTAATTTAGACGTATTTTGACATAGCCTAAAAAGCCATTCAGGATCTAGTGATTGCACCCTAGTTTTGAGCTTCAGAGGATTATAGATGTGTTAAGGCACGTTCCAGAAAGAATTAGGGATGGCGTAAAACTTGGGGACATAAGAAGATTGGGAGTGAGGTCTGAAATAAGGCTCAGGAAGGAGAAAGGGCTAGAAATGTCTGCAGTGAACATTACTTGATAATTGAAAAAAGTAAGATTTTATGTAGCCTTTTTGACATAAAATGGTCATATTAAAATGGCTTAGCATGGGACCAGCAGATGGTCTAATGATTGACTTCTATGTAGTCAAACATGGTTTGAGTCTGGGACCTGGCATCTTAAAACTCACACCAGATGCATGTGCGTGCATGCCCAGAATACCGAGAGGAGAATAGAGGAGAAGGGATTGCCTATGGCCATCCTTCTTGAAGGGGGGGGGGAGATGATTTCTCATTTTCTGTCTCTTTAGGGAGTGCATGCACCAAAAAAAAAAATTCTCTTAAAAAAATGGCTTATCACTAGAAAGTACTCAAGACTCAAGGGACCAGCAGTTAGTGTAATGGCTATGTTGCTGAACTCCCATGTAGCCGACCGTGGTTCGAGTCCCAGACCTGGTGGCTTAAACTCACGCTGGGTGCATGTGCATGCGTGCCCAAGATCCCGAGAGGAGAATGGAGGAGAAGGGATTGCGGCGTGGCCATCCCCCCTAGGGGGTGATTTCTCTCTTTCTATCTCTCTGTCTCTCTCTGTCTTTCTGTCGAGCACATGTGCCCTATAGCAAAAATCTCTCCATAAAAAATAAAAATAGAAATAAATATTTGTTGAATTTGTTTTTTTGTTTTTTTTTTTTGAGAAAGATTTTTGCTGTAGGGCATGTGCACTCAGTGGAGAAACAGACAGACAGATAAACAGAAAGCAATAAATCACTCCCAAGGGTGGATTGCCATGCTACAGTTCCTTCTCCTCCATCTCCTCTCAGGATTTTGAGCATGCATGTACAAGTGTTGGGCATGAGTTTTAAGCTGCTGGGACTGATATGAACCACAGTCGACTATGTGGGAACCCAGCAACTTAACCATTATGCCATCTGCCGGTTCCATGAACTTAATTTTTAAAAATAATTATTTATTTATTTAATTTTATTTATTATTATTATATATTTTTTGAAGAGGTTTTTGCTGTAGGGCGCGTGCGCTTGCCAGACAGACACAGAGAGACAGAGAGACAGAAAGCAAGAAATCACCCCCTAGGGGGGATGGCCACGCTGCATTCCCTTCTCCTCCATTCTCTTCTTGGGATCTTGGGCACGCACGCACATGCACCCGGCGTGAGTTTAAGCCACCGGGTCTGGAACTCGAACCACGGTCAACTACGTGGGAGTCCAGCAACATAGCCATTACGCTAACTGCTGGTCCCTATTTATTATTATTATTACTACTGTTTAATTTGACCAGAGAGAGAGGGGAGGTAGGGAAAATGAGAAAGCAAGCTGCCAGGATCGGGACTCAAACCGTGGTCAGCCATGTGAGAGTCTGGCACCTTAACCACCGTGCCACTTGCTCACCCCGAACTTAATTTTTTAAAAGTTATTTATTTCTTCCAGCAGGACAAAGAGAGGGAGGAGGGCACCTCTAACAAGTTTTCCATGCTGCAGTTTGTCGCCAGCTCAGTCAGCCTGTGTCAGAGGCATACTTTTGCACAGGGTGTGTTTAAAGAGGCCTTGGGACACAAACTCGGGACCTTCCCGTGTGAATCCAACATTGCAGAGTGTTTCATTATTGTTGTGCCACTGGCTGGACCTGAATATAATTTTTGAACCAATGGTGTGCTCTTAACTCTCCTTTTCCTCTTCCATAGTTTTATATTTGGGCCCTACAGAGTTTCCAGATTGTTATGGTTGATAAATTTAAGAACAGCACTGCAAATTTTAGTAAAGTAAGCCATATTTTTGAGGGAAAATGAGGTTAAATAAAGACTTATGAAACATATAAATCCCTTTAAAATCTCCACACAATTGGCCACTGTGGAGTTTTTCACTCTTTTTAATGCCATGTGAATTTAGACAAGTTGTTTTAACCTTTCTAGATCTTGGTTTTGTCTTTTTTTTTTTTTTTTTAATTAAAGGATTGGATTATTCTTTAAGTTGTATTTGCTTTAAAACATTTTTGTTTTTACATCTCGTGTATCCTGCAGTAAAGTTGCTTTTTTTCAAGCACTATCATGCAAGATAAATAAAATTTTTCATATTAATGAAAGTATCTACAGACCAGTTAGTGGCATGGTGATTAAAGTGGCTAGATACTGGTGCTGTCATGTGGTATTTGACTCCCACATGGCCAATTGTGGTTCAAGTCCCAGACCCAGTGGCTTGCTTTCTCACTTTCCTTCTCTCTTCTCTCTCTGATCAGATTGAAAACCAATAATAACAAATAAAGTTAAATAAATACATTTTTAAAAGAATTATTTTTATTTTAACTTTATTTATTTTAAATTGACCAGAGAGGAGAGAGAGAGAGAGAGAAGCCACCAGGTATGAGACTCAAACTGAGGTCGACCATGTGGGAGTCCAGTGCCCTTAACCACCATGCCACCTACCAGCCCAAAATAAATAATTCTTAAAAAAAAAAAAAAGTGACTAGATACTGTATGGCTAACTGTATGGTTCAAATCTTGGAACCTACAGCTTGGACAGCACGTCAGGCATATGTATGTGTCCAAAATCTCAAGAAGAGAATGGAGAAGGGATTTTGGTGTGGCCATTTCCCCTGGGTGTGCTTTCTCACTTTCCTTCTATCTTTTCCTCTGATTGTCCAGCAAGCATACGCACTCAGCAAATCAAACAAACAAACAAACAAAACAAACAAACAAAAAAGAACCCCACTTTACCATCTTCATGTACACACTTGGCTGTATTTTCACTGGAGTGCACACATCAAGCAGACCTTCGATCTCAGCATTGTAAAGACAAGTCACACAGTTTAAACCACTGTGAGACCTAAACTCAGATCCATGGCTCTGACGAGTACTGACTTTATGACCTTATGCAAATTGCTCAATCTTGACAAGCCTTAATTTTCTTATTTGTAACATGGGGATAACTGCATGTTCTCTAAAGTTATTGTGAAGATTAAGTGAGATAATGAATGTACACTGCTTAGCCTAAAGCCTGGCCTATTGGAAACATTCAGTGTACATTACCTCATGCAACTGTTTGGAAATTTGTCCAGGATTCTTCCTAGCCAATATACAAACACATTTTATGATATAACTCTTTATATTATAAGTTGAGCACTATTTCACTCAATAATTATTTACTGAATAAACTAATTAATGAGCAAAATGTTTTCCTGATGCAAATCAATGTAAAACTGACCTACGATTCTTCTCTTTACAGATCTTGTATTGCACTTTGAATACACCTAAAGTTGACATGGAAAAACTCTTAGGAGGACATATAGGTCTGGAAGACTTCATATTTGCCCATGTGAAAGGAATAAAAAAAGAAGTGAATGTATACAAATCTGAGGATTCACTTGGTCTAACTATTACAGATAATGGTGTTGGCTATGCTTTTATAAAGGTAAGTTTTAAAGAATAACAGGGTGACCTAACAGAGGGCAACATTGAAGAAAATCTGCTAGTTCAAAGAAAGTTAGAAATGACCTTCAAAGTGAGAGCTGGCTCAGCAGGAAAGCATGAGTTGTTTATGTTTTGCTTTCGTTTAAAAAATGTTCAAAGATATCATTCGTTGTTTACTCTTTCCTTGACTTTCTTCCCTTTAGTTTAAACTTCCTCTACAATTTAGAATGTACCGAGAAGGAAAGTCTGGCCCTGGTGCCTTCCTTAGCCATGAAAGCTTTTCCAGGTCTGTAGTTTTAATATCAGATGAGTTCCATGTGAATTTCCATTGAATTAGTGTTTTTTCCAATTGTACATACTTTTGGCTACCTTATTAACTTTAAAAATGGTTGGTAGGCCAGCCTACAGTGTGGTGGATAAGGCAGCTGGATCTCACATGGCCAACCATGTGGTTCGAGTCTTGGACCCGGTGACTTGAGAAACACACTGCGTGTGTGCATGTGTGCCCAGAATCTTGAAAGGAGGGAGAACTGGAGAAGGGATTATTGCGAGATTGTGTCTCTTTGAGGGGGGTTGCTCTCTTTCTTTCTTTGTCTTTCTTACTCTCTCTCCAGTGAGTGCACATACCCTCTTGCAAAACTTAAAAAACAAAAACCAAAAACCTTCTGAAGACTTTTCTGAACTGCGTATGTCCTTTATTTAAATACAAAGAAAGCAGGGGACCAGCAAATGCCGTGGTAAAGGCGTTGGACACTCCCACATGGCCGACCATGGTTTGAGTCCCAGACCTGGTGGCTTGCTTGCTCACTTTCTCTCTCGGGTCAAAATTTAAAAAAATAATAATAAGTGAATGAGTAAATAAAATTAAAAATAAATTAAAAAATACAAAGAGAGCAAATATAGAGCTGCAAAAGTTAGAGAAAGAAGTTTGAAATGGTAATAAAATGGTAAGACTTGAGTGGTAAAAAGAAAGGCAGATTCATCTGTTAAAAATAGCATTCTGGGGTCAGCTGGTGGTGTGCTACTTACGGCAGCTGGATCCTACATGGCCTGCTGCACAGTTTGTGTCTCAGATCCAGAGCTTGAAAAGCACCAGGCACGTGTACATGCATGCCCCAAATCCCAAAATGAGGAGAAATGGAAGAGAAGGGATTATAGTATGACCATCCTTTATGGGAGGTGCTTTTTCACTTTCTCTTTCTCTCCTTGGCAAGCACACATGACCTCTGGCAAATTAAAAAATACTAATAAAAAACCCTGTAGTGCAGTGGTTAAGTGTTGTGCTTAGGGAACTAGATCCCCCATTGCTGACCATGGTTCAAGTTCCAGCCTTGGCAGTTTGACAAACATGCCAGGTGTATGTGCACGTGTGCCCCAAATCATCCTGACAGGAGAGGGAATGGAGGGGAAAGGATTGCAGAGTGACACCCTCATTAGGTGTTCTCTCTCTCCGTGGTGAGGCATGTGCCTTCTGGCAGTTAAAAAACCTCATCTGTTGTTGTAAGTACAGTAGTTGTAACATTATCAGCAGACATATTGAGTGCCTACCAGGTACTAGGAAGTTAGCAAACATTTTCTCATTTAATTCTCACAATTCTATTTTGTTCATATTATACTTTATTTATTTAGTTTGCCAGAGGAAACGTGCACTTTTCCACAGTGATGAAGAGAGGGAAAGTGAAAGCACCCTTGATGAAAGATGGTCACATCACAATCCCGCCTCCTCTGCTTCTCTTTTCAGGATTTTGGGCATGTATGCACATGTGCCCAGGTTATTTTTCAAGCTGCCGGGTCTGGGACTTGAGCCATACAGTGGACCATGTAAGATCTAGCTGCCTTAACTACTATACCACTAGGTGACCTGAGTTTTCTTTCACTTTACTTTTTTGTTGAGGTATAACACATGTTTAATATGTAACACATGTGTAATGTATGGCTGAAGAGATGTTTACATACTTAAACCTGTATAACTAACCACTGCCGCTATGCAGATCAGGCAAGGTTACATTCTGCCACCCAGAAGGCTCCCTTAAGCCTTTTCATGGACAATGCTCTTCCTTTCAAAAGTAGCCATTGTTCTTTTTTTTTTTTTAAAGAATTATTTTATTTAACTTTATTTATTTATTTGTTTCCTTGCTTATTTATTTTAATTTGACCAGACAGGGACAGAGTAAGAGTGAGAGAGAGAGAGAGAGAAAGCAAGCGATCAGGTCCAGGACTTTAATGTCGATCAACCATGTGGAAATCCAGTGCCCTTAACTACCATTACCTGCCGGCCCCTAAAAGTAGCCATTATTTTGACCTCTCATCATTTACTTGTTCTTGAACGACATAAAGTCATATTTTATGTGTTGTATTTTTTACTTCTTTTACTCAGTACAACATTTGCAATTCCTCCATGGTTATGTTTGCAGATGTAGAAATAGGATCAGAAAGGTTGAGTGCTTCTGGGCGCATGTGCGTGCGTGCCCAGGATCCCAAGAGGAGAGTAAAGGAGAAGGGATTGCAGTGTGGCCATGCCCATTAGGGGGTGATTTTTCACTTTCTGTCTCTCTCTGTCTTTCTGGTGAGTGCATGCACCCTATAGTGAAAACCTCTCCAAAAAAAAAAAAAAAAAGAAAAAAAGAAAAAAAGAAAGGTTGAGTGCTTGTCCCAAGTTACACAGTTGGGCAAATTCAGGATTCAAAGCTGAGAGATCTGACTGCACAGCTGGCATTTCTATTCACTGAGCTAAGGGTTAGTGACAAACCTCATGCAACACAGTAGGTTTCATGCTTTTATTTTGCCTAAATCCTGCTTTGCTGATGCACTGTCATCATTAAAGAAATACTCGCAGGGACGTTATCTTCTTAACCGTAAGTGGTTCTTTAACCTCCCACTTGACAGAATGGCTATTTTTAGATCTGCAAAGATATGACTGTGCTGAGGATTGAGTGGGTGACCAAATGGAAAATCCGTGAGTTGGGAAAGTCATGTGGGATTATCCAAGGGAAGCTCAGGACATGAGGCACATACAGCACTGCCTTTCTAATGTCAGCAGAGGAGGCCTTGGATGTTTTGCAAATATGTGTGGAGTTTTTAGGTCTTAGCCTCTGACATTCAGAGCTTGTGCTTCTATTTTATTTATTTATTTATTTTTAATGCCTTGTCAGACATGTGCCTGCCTCAGGGTACTAGTCACTAGCCCTGTGGAGACAGAGGACATGGTAGCAGAGGAGAAAGTGGAGCATGATTTGAACTGCAACTTGGAAGAGACATACCTTTTAAAGCTTGCTCATTTTTGAGAGACCCAAGCAGCCTCAGTAGAATCCCACACCATGATCCGGACCAGCGCCAGCCAGCTACGAGCATGGGTGTACAAGCATATGCCTGGTGTGTTCAGGGAGACCTCAGGACCTGAACCTGAGACCTCTTATGTGAGGCTAGCACTTTGGGGTGTGGCATTACCACTGTGTCACTGACTGGGCCTAATATCAATAAAATTTAAAGAAAAGTTTTAGGGGAAGGTGATAATTTTAAACTTTTAGAAAGATTGCAATAATGATGGGACCAGTGGATGGCGTAATGGTTATATTGCTGGACTCCCCTGTAGTTGAATGCAGTTCCAGTCGGATCCGGTGACTTAAAACTCATGCCAGGCACATGTGCATATGTGCCCCAAATCCCAAGAGGACAGTGGAGGAGAAGGGATTGTGGTATGGTCATCCCCCTGGAGGGTGAGTTCTTGCTTTGTGTCTCTGATGATCCAGCGAGCACCCCCACCCTATAGCAAAAATAGTTCTTAAAAAAAAAAAAAAGAGAAAAAGAAAGATTGGCAATAATGATACTAAGAACTCCAATATATCATTTAGCAACATTTTCTATTTTTACCTTTTGAAACACTTGCTCCATTGTCCTCTTATATACAGTGACTTCAAAAAGCCTGTGGAAACATGGAATTAAAGTATGCATTTCTTTTGGAGCAGAAAAATTTGAAATCCATATATAATTTTTTCATAATATGTGTTTTCCATGAACTTTTTGAAGACCTGTGGCCTAGAAAACTATTCTCTATCTGTAAGTAGTAGATATACTCCCTTCACCATTTACTACTTAAGAGCATAATTACTAAGAAGAAAGATATTCTCTTAGATAGCTATAGTACAATTACAACATTCAGAAAATGTACAAAATAGTAAGATGATTAAAAATAAAAAAAGAAATGGGTCCAGGCAATGGCATGTTTAAGAGCATGGGTTTTAGAATCTGACAGGCTTGCTTTGGGCTTCAAGCAACCACATATTTACTAGCTGTGTGACCTTGGCTAAGTAAGTAAATCTTTCTGAGCTAGCTTGCTTGCTTACTTGCTTACTTGCTTTTCTTTTTTTTTTTTTTTGAGAAGTTTTTGCTATAGGGTGCCCACTTTCTCCTGGATAGGTTCAATCCAGGGTCATGTATTTCATTTAGTTGTTATTTTTTATTTATTTATTTTTTAAGTTTGTTGAGACCAACAACTAGTGTGATAGTTAAGGCGCTGGACTTTGTATGCACCTGAAACCCTGAGAGGAGAATGGAGGAGAAGGGACTGTGACTTGGCCATTGCCCTCTGGAGTGGAGGGGGTGATTTCTCACTTTCCCTCACACTTATGTCTCTTGCCCTATGAACAAACCTGAAAAAGAAGTTTATTTTGTGAGCGAGGAGAAAGGGGAGAGAGAGAGAGAGAGCGAGCGAGCGTGCGAGCGAGCGCCCTTGACAGGGTCTCACTATGTCACAATCCTCTCCCCAGCCTTCCAGCCAGCTAAGCACATGGGCATACCTAGGCATGCCCAATGTGTTCAAGTTGACCTGGGATCCAAACCGGGTCTCTCATGTGGCTCTGGTATCATGCAGCAGTGCTCTACTGTCAGCACCACTGCAGTCGGGTCAATTGGTCATGTCTTTTTGTTACAGAATAGTTTCTCAACCTTTTATAGGATGTCCCTTAACTTGGGTTTTTCTTATGTTTCCTTATCTTGAGAAAC